TGGCGCAGGATAGAGCAGGGTTTAGAGCTGTTGTGCATAGGGTCGCTATGAGTCGGAAACGACTCGATGGCACATAACAACAACAACAACAACATTTTTAAAATGGGATGCTTAAAATTCTGTTTATCCCATTTGTGGGGAAAAAAAACCCAAAATTTAAACAATTTGAAAACTTATTCTTCAATGGTCAGACAGGAAATATTTTCTACTTATGGGGTCAGAGTCTTTGCATTATAGGGTGTAAGCAGCAAAATATAAAATTGTACTGCACAAGGTAATATGCACACAATGAGTTGTTGTTAGGTGCCACTGAGTGGAGCACGATTCATAGTGACCTTCTAAACAAAAGATCTGAACCCTGTTCTATCCTGTGCCATCCTCACACACACGAGCCCATTGCAGCAATCACAGTCTCAATCCACCTAATTGAAGAGTCTTCCTCTCCTTTGCTGATGCTCCACCTTTCCCAGCATCATGTCCTTTAAGGAACAGCCCCTCCCAGCAACATGCCCAAAGTATGTGAGGTGAACCCTCATCATTCCTGCCTCCAAAGAACACTCTGGCTGAATCCTCTTCAAGACGTATCTGTTCATTCTCTTGGCCATCTAGAAGATGTTTACTGCTCTTCTCTAACACCACAGCTCAAAGGCGTCAATTCTTTTTCTGTCAACATTATTCGCTGTCCTGCTCTCAGATGCATAGCTAGTAAGTGGAAAGAACATGGCCTGAATCAGATAGACCTTAGTCCTCAAACTGACATCATTACTCCTCAATTAATTTGGGGAAACCCCTAACTGCAGATTTTCCTAGTGCAACGCATCTCCTTATTTCCTGACTATCGGTGTCACGGGAGTTAATTGTGGATCCAAGCAAGATGAAGCCATTGACAGTTTCAATCTCTTCTCTATCCATCAAGACCACTGCCTATTAGTCCAGTGGTAAGAATCTTTGTTTACCTGATACTGAGATGGAAACCATACGGAAGGCTGCATTTCTTGATCTTCCGCAACAAGTTCTTAAAGTTCTCCTCAATTTCAGAAAGCAAGGTTATGTTATCTGCATAACGCAGGTTACTGAAGACTCTCCCTTCAATCCTGATGCCATACTCTTCTTCACAGAATCAAGCTTCTACAATAATTTGCTCAGCATACAGAATGAATAGTTATGGAGAGTGAAGACAACCCTGGTTCATTCCTTTCCCAATTCCAAACCATGTAGTGCTCAGTTCACACCAAATCGTCCTGACTGGACCACATGAGCTCAATTAAGTGCTCTGGGATTCCTATTTTCAATTTCAGCCACAACTTGTATGATCTACACAGCAAAATGCCTTTGCATAGTCAATAAAAGCATAAATACACATGCTTCTGGTGTTATTTTCAGCCAATATGGCACCAGCAATGACACCTTTGGTGCCATGGCCTCTTCTAAATCCTGCTTGAACTTCTGTTAGCTCCCTATCGATGTACTGTTCTAGACATTTTTGAATAATCTTTAGCAGCATTTTGCTTGCATGTGATAGTAATGGTATTGTTCGATAGTTTCCACATTCAGTTGGATCACCTTTCCTGGGAATGTGAACAATCTGTTGGCCAGATAGCTATCCTCCAAATTTCCTGGCATAGACTGATGAGCGCATCCAAGGCTGCATTTTTTAGCTGACATTAGTCAACTAGTATCTCACTGATTCCTGGGGCCTTATTTTTTTGCCAATGCCTTCAATACAGCTTCTACTTCCTCCTTCATTACCATCATCTCTTCCTCTAGAACTTCCTGAAATTTTTTAGTGTCAATCAATTTTCCCTGGTACAGTGATTTTGTGTATTCCCTCTACCTTCTTTTGATATTTTCTGGGTCATGCAATATATTGTCCATAGCATCTTTCCATATTGCTGACAAGAGGATTAAAATTTTTCAGTTCTTTTCGCTTGAATCATGTAGAACAAGTTCTTCCCTTTTTATTCTCCAATTCCAGCTCTCTGCACATTCCACTATAATACTTGGCTCTGTCCTCCCAAGCTGCCCTTTGAAATCATCTGTTTAGTTCTTGCACTTCCACATGTTTGCCTTTTGTTTTGGCTTCTTGACAATCCAGGCAATCTTTACAGTTTCCTTTCACATCCATTTTGGTTTTTTCTTTCTCCTCCATTTTTATAATGACCTTTTACTTTCTTAATGGATGATATCCATGTTATCATTCCACAATGCATCTGGTTTTTGATCACTGGTGTTCAATGCCTCAAATCTACTATTAAGATGATCTTGAAATTCAGATGGAACTGATTCACGAGGATATCATGGTTCCTGTGGACATATTTTAATTTTTTCAGCCTCAATTTGAATTTGCATATGAGTAACTGATGATCTGAACCACAGTCTGCTCCTGGCCTAGTTTTGACTGCTGATACTGAGCTTCTCCAATGATTTCTTCCACAAGTGTCATAGTGATTCCTATGCAGTCCATAAGGCGAGATGCATGTATAAAGTTGCTGTTCGTGTCTTTTAAAAATAGCTATTTGCAATGAATAAATCATTATAAATATAAATTCAATCCTTCTATTTCCAGCCTCATTTCTTATCATCAAGCCTATATTTTTCAACTACTATTCATTCCTTCTTCACTGTTTCCAACTTTTGCGCGTCAATTTCAGACTGCAAGATTTGGTAAAAATTCTTAATTTTTTCCTCTTTGGCTCTAGATGTAGGAGCATATATTTGAGTAATAATCGTGTTAACGAGTCTTTCTTGTACGCATATGGATATTATCCTATAACGCACTACACTGTATTCCAGGATAGAATGTAAAATTGACTTTTTGACTATGAATGCACAATATGCACTATGAATACACAGTGAGTATGCCAATGAAAAGGCATTTGAGTTCTTTCTGAAACAAAAATTATTAAGTTAAATATTTTTCTAAAATGTTGAAATATTTTATTAAAATTGAGCTACTGTAGGCTATTGGTAAGGAGTTGTGCTACGAGCTCAAAGGCAAATGGTTCTAATATAAACTTTCCTCTACATTATTATTAAAATAAAATTAAATTCTTACCTGGGCTTTTTTCACCTTTCTGCTCTTGCTTCTTCTTTAAAAGCATAGTTTCACTGACCAATGTACAGTCCATGTCCACAGTCTCTTCACCTCCTAATTTTGACTGACTGCCATCCTGAACAAATGAAGAAACAAAAATCTTTACAGTCTTATACTATTTTTTATATATTAAGAACAGATACAAACTTTGATTTTATTGTCTGCAAAACATTTTAGTTTTATAATAAAACATCGGCCCTCAATCCTAGGACAAGAACTGCTCCTAAGGAAAGGGATGTTATCGACCCCTGAACTCCCTTTCATCTCCAATCTGCTTCATAGTAATTAACTTAATGCACACTAAGAACCACAATTTAATACATTACATTAGATTTCTCAATGAGTACATATTGGTCAGGTAACTCTTACATACAGTCAATAATAGGCTGCCGAGTGAAAACAAGTATCTCAAACAAAATATAAAATAAATGCAAGCAAAAAAATAACTTCTACTATGGGTTTAAAGTTTAAAAAAGTACTTAAACAGTCAACTTGGAAAATGTTTTTCTTGATGGTACATTACTTTGATAAATAAAAATTATTTAAAATACATGAAGAACATTTTATACTATTTTAAAATTAATTTGCTTGAGTCAACAATGTTATCTTTTCAAAAATACCATAAACTTGAAAGAAGAAACATTTTTATTTCTTTGGTTTTTCTGAAGAGATTAATAAAAATTTTAGAGATACGAGATTATCTCAATGTGTAAGATCTGACCAGGAGAGGTGATTAAGAACTCAACAGGATTAAGAACCAAATGGACTTTAGTTTTACTGTTCAACTTACTTTGGCATCTATTACTGTAATACCCATTTTATATTGAGAAAGGTCTGCTTCTGGATCCACACTCCACTGGATATTTTCAAAGGATACATCTTATACAAGAAGAAAAAAAATGATAAAATGAAAACTGTTTTCTCAAATTCTTATCACTTTAAAACACTGCTGTTGTTGTTAAATGCCATCAAGTCAATTACGACTCACAGCAACCTTATGAACAAGGGATCTGAACCCTGCCCTGTCCTGTGCCATCCTGACCATCTCTGACATACCTGAGCCCACCATTATCATCACTGTCAATCCATTTTGTTGAAGGTCTTCCCTGCCCATTTTTCCCAGCATGATGTCCTTTCCCAAGGACTGGCCCCTCCTACCAACATGACAAAGTACATGGGATGAAGTTTTACTATCCTTGCTCCCAAGGAGCATTATGGCTGCACCTTTTCCAAGACACATTTGTTTGTCCTTTTGGCAATCTATGGTATATTCAACATCTTAACTCAAAGGCATTGATTCTTCTTCTGTCACCCTAATCCATTATCTAACTTTTAAGTTGTACACAATCAGAGGCACCTTAGTCTTCAAATTGACATCATTGCTTTTCACTTTCAAAAGCTCCCCAAGATTGGATATTCCCGACGCAATATGTTTTTTGATATATTTCCTGGCTGTTGATACCAAGGGTTTTGATTGTGGATCCATCTATCATGATGTGGTTTATTGATCTGTGGCAAGGATCTGTGTTTTCCAGATGTTGAGATAGAATTCACATTGAAGATTATAGTCTTTTATCCTTATGCAGCAAGCACTTCAAGTCTTACTTTCAGCAAGCAAGGTTATGCTCATATAGCACAGGTTGCTGATGAGTCTTCCTCTGATCCTGATGCCACATTTTTCTTCACAGAGTACAGTTTTGAAAATTATTTGTTCTGCACACAGACTGAACAGGTACAGAGAAATGTTACAACTCTGATGCACACTTTCTTAACTCAAACTATGCAATATCCCCTTGCTTTGTTTGGCCAACAGCTTCTTGGTCTAGGTATACTACGAGCACAATTAAGTTTTCTGGTATTCCTATTCATCTCAGTGTCTGACATAATTTGTTATGATTTACAAAGTCAAAAGCCTTTGCCCAGCCAAAAAACATAATACATCTTTCTGGTATTTCTGACTTCAGCCAAGATCCATCTACCATCAGCAATAATATCTGATGTTGCAGCTGCTTCTAAAGGTTGAACATGTACTGCACTATTGTAGCCAATTTTGTATCTTCAGTGAGAATTTACTTGCTTTTAATATTAACAACATTGTGCAGTAATTTTCACATTCTGTTGGATCACCTTTTTGAGGAATGGGAACAAACAGGCGTACAAACAATCTAGGACTCAGAAAATAGGAGAAAATGTATTTTTTTTAGTATCCTTTTAAAAACTGGTTTGTACAGACGACACCTCGTCCACCCCGGAGCAGAGGCCCCTTTGCACAGTCACCGCCGCTGGTTCACACCTGCCACCCCCAGCTCACCATGGATGATGTTATCACTGCGCTCATGGTCGACAACGGCTGCGGCATGTGCAAGGCCGGCTTTGCGGGCGACGATGCCCCCCGGGCTGTCTTCCCCTCCATCGTGGGGCACCCTCGGCACCAGGGCGTGATGGTGGGCACGGGCCAGAAGGACTCCTACGTGGGGGACAAAGCCCAGAGCAAGAGAGGCATCCTGACCCTCAAGTACCCCATCGAGCACAGCATTGTCACCAACTGGGACGATATGGAGAAGATCTGGCACCACACCTTCTACAACAAGCTGTGTGTGGCCCCCAAAGAGCACCCTGTGCTGCTGACGGAGGCCCCCTTGAACCCCAAGGCTAACCGGGAGAAGATGACCCAGATCATGTTCGAGACTTTCAACACCCCTGCCATGAACGTCACCATCCAGGCAGTGCTGTCCCTGTATGCCTCTGGCCGAACCACTGGCATTGTGATGGATTCCGGCGATGGGGTCACCCACACTGTACCCATCGATGAGGGGTACACCCTCCCTCATGCCATCCTGCGTCTGGACCTGGCTGGCTGGGACCTGACAGACTACCTCATGAATATCCTCACAGAGCGAGGCTACAGCTTCACCACCACGGCTGAGCAGGAAATTGTGCGTGACATCAAGGAGAAACTCTGTTACGCTGCCCTGGACTTCGAGCAGGAGATGGCCATGGCGGCTTCCTCTTCCTCCTTGGAGAAGAGCTACGAGCTGCCCGATGGGCAGGTCATCACCATCGGCAATGAGCGTTTCCACTGCCCTGAGGCACTCTTCCAGCCCTCCTTCCTGGGCATGGAGTCTTGTGGCATCCATGAAACTACCTTCAACTCCATCATGAAGTGTGATGTTGACATCCGCAAGGACCTCTACGCCAACACAGTGCTGTCTGGCGGGACCACCATGTACCCAGGCATTGCCGACAGGATGCAGAAGAGATCTCAGCACTGGCCCCCAGCACGATGAAGATCAAGATCATCACTCCCCCTGAGTGTAAATACTCTGCGTGGATCGGCGGCTCCATCTTGGCCTCCCTGTCCACCTTCCAGCAGATGTGGATCAGCAAGCAGGAGTACCATGAGTCTGGCCCCTCCATCGTCCACCGCAAATGCTTCTAGGTGGACTGTTTAGTTGCGTTACACCCTTTCTTGATAAAAAAACCTAACTTGCTCAGAAAAAAGAAACAAAGGATGAGAATTGGCATGGCTTTATTTGTTACTTTTTTGTTTCTTTTTTAAATTTTTTTAATTTTTTTTTTTTTTTTTGCGCTTGACTCAGGATTTAAAAACTGGAAAGGTGAGGGGGACAGCAGTTGGTGTGGAGCAAGAATCCCCCCAGTTCTCCAATGTGGCCCAGGACTTTGATTGTACATTGTTCTCTTTTTTTAAAAACAGTCATTCCAAATAATCAACATGGCAATGTGACAGGAAGCTCCTGCCTTTCCAGAAGCCTCTCCCTTCCCCTAAGCAGAAGAGCCCCATCCCTCACCGGGTCCATGCATGGACAGGGGTGGCAGGGAGCATTGCTTTTATGTAAATTATACCTTATCCAGGTTTTTTTTTTGTTAAAAAAATCTTCCGCCTTAATACTTGTTCTTTAGTTTTTGTCTTTTTTTCCAATAGTCAGCCATCAGTGGCCCTACTTTTTTGGGGCCCTTGCCCTTTCCCTCAACTCTAGAAATATGAAGGCTTTTGGTCTCCCTGGGGTGGCTGAGATGTGGAGGCAGCCAGGGCTTTACCTGTACACTGACTTGAGACCAGCTGAATAAAAGTGCACACCTTAAAAAGTGAAAAAAACAAAAAAACCCAAAAAACCCCTGGTTTGTATACAGTAATTTGTATACACTGTATTTCATTCAAGTACACTGTTTCGTAGCATCATTCCTATGCATTGTATTTTATAATTACTGATCAATGTCTATTATTACCCTGTCTTTTTGCATCCCCACTGAATCCTTTCTATTCCTTTACCCCTCCATCTGCCCACTAAATCCTGCTATTCTAGTGATTTCCACCCTCACCAACTTTCTGCCTCCTGTTCTGTTCTCCTTTTGAACATTTACTAACACACCTTTCGACATACTAGTTTTCCTTCTGTTTTTACAATAATGGATATGCAATAAAATTATGCTGATTTATCTTTATGAGACTGAATTAGTTCATTAATAACAAAATAAATAAAAAGGTATAGGCAATAAAAAAGGGAAGAAATTTATGTAAAATATGTATGTGTTAAAGGAACTGCATAAAGAAGATATAAAAGTCTCTTCAGAACTCTCAAGCCCATTTCTGCAGAGTCAGAACCAACTATAGCTGACCCTCCTTGCAGGTCTCGAAGGTGGTAACATCTCATTGGAGGAGATTATCTATTTTTCCCCCATGGAGTTGCTGGTGGATCTGAAACACTAGAGAGACAGTGTTAGCAGCAAAACTCCCTATGAACTATGCCAACAGAGCTCCCTTTAACAAATAAGTTATGCTGCCAATGCAAAGGCACGTGGTTTGAATCTATCAGCTGATCCATGGGAGAGAGCTGGGCAATCTCTGTGCAATTTACAGCCTCTGAAAACCAGCTGAAAGGTCAGCTTTGAGTCAGTTCCAAGTCAATAACACATAAGAACATAAAAGAGTAGATTAAGCAAGTAATCAGACAAGTGCAAGGACAGAGAGAACAAACATGTATGTTTTTCAGGGAATTTGGGATTAGGAACTGAGAAAAAAGACTTTTCCCAGTTTGAAAGTGAGACAAAGAACTTGAAAAGAGGGAGCATGCCTTCCCTTAGAGCCAAAACCTAGAATTTATACTTGTAACCTCCTGGTAGAGCTTGGATGGTTAAGCGGTAAGGAACTGCATTCCAACACAAAGGTATGTCGTTTGAATCTACCAGTGGCTCTGCATGAGAAAGACTGGACTATCAACTTCCATGTGATTTACTACCTGTGAACACATGCTGGAAAACAACAACAACAAGCCTCCTGGTAAGGAGCTGTACTGTCAACCTGAAGGCACACAGTTCAAATCCACCAGGTTCTTGGACTAGAAAAACATGGATAAACTCCCCCTATGTGATTTACTGCCTCTGGAAACTAGCTAGAGTGTCTGCTATGGGTAGGTTATGACCACACGGTACATAACAAAAACAACAAACTGAGACATTTCTGTTCATTTAAGTCACCCACTTATGTTGTTTCTGTTACAGTACCACTAGATAACGAAGACCATAAAGACCAAGGCAGCCTAATAATAAGAAGCTGTACTGGAATTCTAAAGGCATTTGGTTTGAATGCACTAGTTGCTCCTCGAGAGAAGAATGGGAAACCTCATGTGTGATTTAATGCCTCTGAAAACCCACTGAAGGGTCATCTATGGGCCGGTTCTGACTTGATGCCACACAACATAGAGGGGGTTTTGTTAGTGGAGTTGCACTGCTAAAGGCTGCACATCTCTGGTGGTTTGAATCCCTCAGTGGCTCATCTGGAGAAGATGGGCTGTCTCCTCTGGTTATGATTTACAGCCTCAGAAACCTCATCATCACTAAGTCAGACATGATGTGGCAGCAGTGAGCTCAAGATCCACTTTGCTGTTTTTCTACAGTAACTAAAAGTAGATGAATATCTACAAGGACTGGGGAGAGAAAAATGGAGTTACTGAGTGATGAAACATTTTAACTTAAGGCTCTAGTAAAAGATACACAATCCTGTAAGTATGCTAAATCCACGAACTGTATACTGTAATACATGAGATTTAGGGTATGTGAATTTTATCTCCACCAAAAAGGATTTTTAAAATGTTAATGGTATAAAATTTCTGCAAGAGTTTATAATGTTACAATACATAAAAGCTACACAAACTTTAGAAACAGAACATAAAATGGTATGATATTAACTATAAGTATTTTGTGAAAGGTTAAGTATGTATAAAGATAAATAGGTATAATATTATCCTAGAGTAATCTCCCACTCACACTGCTGTCAAGTCAGAACTGAAACATAGATTACCTCCCAATGGGTTTTCAGGGACTATAAACTGTACAGGTGAAAAATGCTCAATTTTCTACCATGGTACAGCTGGTGGATTTGAACTGCCTCCCATTGGGTTGTCAGTGCACGTCCCTATCCACTAGGCCACCAGAAATCATGGAGGTAAAAAAGAAAAAAAATAATTCCGAAATTAAGGAACACCTTAAAAATGAAGACTAAAATCTCTGTTGAAAGAAGCTAACACATGTATTCTGGAAAAGGAGAAAATAAGTATTGAACAAACAACCAATTTGACAATGAAGAATAAAAGCAAAAATACTATGACTATATACAGTACATATAATACTATAATACAAATAGGTATGTCTTGGAGAAGGTGTAGCCAGACTGCTCCTTAGAGGCAAGGTCATGTAGTTAGGCAAAGCTATTCTTTGGAAAGGGACATCATACTTGGAAAGTTAATGGAATAAAAGGAGTAGCTGGTAGATTAGAGAACTACATGCCTTTAAGACTGCAGTATAGCTTCTTAGCACTAGGCTACCAGAGCTCCCTATAGCATATATAGTACTTTTGCATTTATTCTTCATTGGGGAGAAATATATATATATATATATTGTTGTTGCATATCATCAGGTCAGAAGTGACCCATAGCTGACCCTCCAGAAGATTTTCACAGGCAGTTAAACGCTAAAGGAGGAGACAGACCATCCTTGTCCTGTGGAGAAGCTAGCAGTCTCAAAGCCCGTGCCTTTGGAATTGCAGTGCAGTTTTTCACCACTCATTTCTATAAACAAATATATATAAATAAATATATTGTTCTTTCTGTGTACTGCTGAGTCAGAACCAATCCATAGCTGACCTTTCGATAGGTTTTCAGAGGCAGTAAATTTCATGGGATGAGACTGCCCATCTTTCTCTCACAGAACAGCATGTGCTTTTGAACTGTGGGTCTTTAGGACTGCAGGACAGCTTCTTATCACTAAGCCATCATGACTCAAAAAAATACAAATACATACACACTACTGAGGGGCAAACAAAGATTATAAACAAGAAATTTTAAAACTTACATATATGCATGTGTTTCTAGATATATGTGTAAGGGAAAAGGATAGTACGAGGAAAAGAAAAATAATTATAGATATATGTGTAAGGGAAAAGGATAGTACGAGGAAAAGAAAAATAATTAGGTGATGTTTTCTTCTTAATTTTAAAAGCCTTTCTAACAATAATATATAGAAATGGAAAATAAACAATTGTACATAATTTCCCTGTAATAGTAGCTTTTAAAAGATCTCAATTCATTTTTCTAAAAGCACAAAGGTAGGAAAACACAGGTAAAATGATATCAAGGAGAACCATCCTTAAAACACAGAAACATGCAGAAGAAGTAAGACCTCTCTGCTTCATGCCAAAAAGCCCAAATGCTTGTCTGTCAGATACTATTATAAAAAGCCCAAAATAAAACAAAAATCCAACCCAGCCTAAGAATATAAACAATAGCTGAAAAGCTATTAAGGAACGAGAGTTGTACTATACACACCTTGACTGCTTTGTAGGGACTTTGTTTTCGCAATTCTACATGGATTTAACTGAAGCACTGATGTCAGTTCACAGGATCCTTGGGTTGACCTGGTTTTCACTTTTATTGGCTCATGAGACGTGGTAGCAACCTAAAAGAAAACGAATTTTCAGCATCTAGATGAAATCACAGATGGTATTTTAGTAAAAAGTCCTTGGACATCTAACACAAACCTTAATGTCATCAAGAAGTTTCTCTGATTCCAAACTTTCACGTGGCCGTGGAGGGATTTTGAAGACAGGGTTTTCTTCTTTTATTTGAAGTGGTGTTTTACTATCTGGAGATGATTTACCGAAGGCCCGGAGGACGCTGTCCTGTAAACAGGGGTCCTCTAAGGACTCTCTGGCTAGCACACAGCTCCCATTCACAGCCTTACGATTCCAGGAAGAACTCTTTGGAATGGGTTTCAAAGTTTCATGAAAAGTCATTTGCCTCAACTTGTTTTTAGAGATCTCATTTCCTTGGCTTTTCTCTTGACGTTGAGTAGCTGAAAACCGGTCAGACAGATCCAGAGGTTTATCCATCACATAGTCCCCACTGACAGCTGAAACATTATCCTTAGGAAAAGGAAAAGCATTTTCTTTATCAAAAGCAGCTTTGGGGCAGCTTACTTCATGTTCACTTTCTTCCTCCGTTTTCTTCCTTTTGGGTGTTCTGCTTCCCAGTGGTTTCAATGGCATTAAATGTTTATCAGTCACAGCATCTTTAATGTGATCATTACTATCCTGTGCATCCATGGATTCACTTACACTTTTATTTACAAGCATCTGTTTATTAGAACTTGACTGGCCAATGATTATGTTCATTTTAGACCCAAGATTCTGATGTGTGAAAAGGCCACTATCTTCAGACTTTGGTCTTGTTTTTTCTGGTCTAGAATTAGAAGTGTTGCCAAAAGGGGCTATTTTAAGCTGTTTTCTTTTCCCTACCTCCAGTAAAGAAGAGGATAAACTTGTATTCACACCTAAGCTATTTTTCACATTAGGAGTGGCTCCAAATACAGGCGATGATGCCCGAATGGTCAATTCTTCTTGGGGAGGAGTCTTTGAAACAGCATCTGAAAATCTAAATACACAAGAGTGATAAAATGAAGAGACAAAGAAGGGGAAATTTGGGGATCTTATCTATGTACTAGAGGTAGAAGAATAACTAAAATTTACAATAGGATGTAGTTCTAGGTTTGGGCTGACCAAAACAAAAGGAAAAAAGATACAGGAAATCTGTGAAATCCATGATATTCCTGTTCTAAAATTTTTCCTTGATAATGTACGTAACTTCACTATATAAGAAAATCATATAACAAATTTCACCAGGGAATAAAATATTTTCGTCATGAAATCTTTGTCCTAGAAACAAAACTCTTACATTAAAAAAATGAAGATAAATTAAGATCCAGCCTGCATCTAATAAAGAAACAGTGTGGAGAACACTAGGCTTAAACCTGAGAATGTGGTCTGGGTAAGAGTTCTAGCTCTCATCCAGAAAGCAGGAAAGGAAGAAATGGTAAACCCAGGGAGGGTAAAGGAAGAGTGCCGTCAGCAAGGCCACTAATGTCATGAAACAAATGTTAGGCCAGGAGGAATAAGAAATCAAAAAAATGCAAAAGCCTTACCCACCTGGCTGAACCATAAACCACAATATAATGTCCCTCCCTCTCTTCCCCCTCCCTGAAGGGCCTGCTATAAAAACCCTCCTGAATACACCCAGATCGCAACTTCCTCAGCCTGCATTTCCAGACCAAGGAACCTCGCCTGGGAGCTCCCTTATTAAAGCTGCTTTTAAGCTTCCTTTCTCTCTGGTCCCTTTCTTGAGTTCTTGGCCTTATTTATAGTGCAAAGACCTAACAACAAAATGTGCACGTATCATTGAATGAGAAATTAATTTGCTGTTTAAAGTTTTTTTAAAAGGGCTGTATAGCCTTATACTAACATTTATCCTTCAAGAGGTACATTTCTGTCATTTGAAAGCAAACACACACACACACACACACACACACACACACACACACACAGTAGTAATAACTACCTCAGTGAGTTACTGTGATTATTGATTAAATGTAATAAACGTGTTTGTTAAAGGCATTATAAAAGAGCAAAAACTTCTTTCAAACAGCACACCACTATATAAATATATTTTAGATAATGGATGCTCTGGTATCACTAAAAAGGAGAAGTTTTACATGGTTGGAAATTGACCTAAATTATTCAGTCTCATTTTGTAAAATATCCATATTTTTATACATATTTTGGAAATAAAGTCCCAGAAAGGATGACGTGCTCTTTATATGAAAGAGCAAAATGACTGGAAAGATTTAAGTACTGCCTGACAGAAACATCTAAACATAATATCCACTAACGCTGCTGTAATGCAAAAATACCCTTCAATCAGGCACAGGTTAGGGAAAGGATTTTATAAATATAGTGAGAATAACACACTGTACATTTAACTATATAAATACACTGTAATAAGATCTCACTAATAGCTTATAAAAAGAGCTACTATAAAGCCCCAATTACCTTACAGCATTGCTGCTATTTCTTTTAGATGCCTCAAAAAGCTGTATTTTCTCATCTCCTTCTAGAGAGTGGTAGAGCTCATCACCAAGAGGGCTCATGGGACCTTGAGATTCCTTCAGTAAGAAAGATACATAGTGGAATATTACTTAACTATATGGAATATATATAGTAGAATACTATTTAACTATAAATAAAGGACAAAATAGTGCTACATGGTATGATACAGATGAACCTTGAAAACATTATGCTAACTGGGAAAATACAGATACAAAAGATCATCACAGCCAAGGCTTGTGGGCAACAGCAGAGCTGGGCGTCGTGGATAAAGTGGAGCTGTTCATAAAGTGGATAAAGGCACAGTTCATGCAAAGGTGCATCATCTCACAGAGCTATGCTGGGATAAGTGCATGGCAAAGCCAGGGAACTATCTAGACTCCCACACTGAAAACTGTCTCTCTAGCTGTGTGGACTGCTTCACTGACACTGCATTCGTAATCAACAATCCGTATGCCCCGATTATAAAAAAGGAGGGCAGCAGGGCACCCCTGAGGACAAGACAGAAAATACAAAGGACTTTCTTTTTATTAAAGTGCCAATAGAGTATGGATGCCATTTCACTGGTAAGTCAACATCAGGCTGTTACCAAGTATCGTGGAGCTAAAATGTAATAAATTAAATGTGCAAAAAGGTAAAATTTATCTGGAATTCAGAAATTACAGACTGTATAACAATAGTTATTCAAGAAATGGGAATTTAAAAAAAAAAGATAAAAAAAAAGATCATCACAGATTACATGGTTCCATTTATATAAGATAGGCACAATAGGTAAACCTGTAGAGAGGGAAAGCAGATTGGTGATCATTTTTCTTATGCGCTATCGAGTTGCCTGTGACTCACGGCAATCCTATGTACAATAGCTCTGAACCCTGCTCTGTCCTGAACCAACAGTACTGCCTCTGACACACCAATCTATGAGTCAACACATTTCACCCAGGATCTGCTTCTCCTGCACTATCCCTCCACCCTCCCAAGGATGAGGTCCCACTCCAAGGACTGATCCCACCTTGTAACATGCCCAAAGTTTATCAGAAGGAGCTTCAGAATCCTTGCCTCCAAGAAGCAGTCTAGTTTCACCCTCTCGAGGATGAACCTATTTGCTCCCCCTCACAGTCCATGGTATATTCAATACTCTTCTCCAACATCACAGTCAAAGGAATCAGTTATTATTCTATCATCCCTATAGCAAGTAACTGCGAAGACCATGGCCCAGATGAGGTGCACCTTGGTCTCAGGACTCTGACATAACTGCTTTTCTGTACTCTGGAGAGGTTCCTGACAGCAGATTTTCCCAAAGCAATACGTCTTTTGATTCAACATCCTGGGGTAGATAACATAAATGTTCCTAAACATACAATTTAGTTCTAGACCTGTATCCAGTGATATTTGTATAAGTGTTTTCTCTTGCTCAATTTCTTAAAAGCTGAATTAAAAGGATCTTTCAATTAATTCACTTTATCACTAAACCACAGAATTACTTACAGATTCTTCCTGAACTTGAAGTCCAAGTGTTTCAGCAACAACTGTAGCTAAATTAAAAGGTGACTTATCAGGGGAGCTACTGCTTGTTCCATGTGTTTCTAAATAGGCAAAAAGAACAGAACAAAACCCCATTAATTATACAATGACAGCAATTACATACATTAAAAAGTGCAAAAAGGAAGCTCCTCATAGAATCACTTCATAAGACTGCACCAGACACATTTTCTTATGGCATCAAGCTGGAACCAACTCAGAGATGACTGTACCGTGGGGTTTTTGGGGCTACAAATCCCACGGGAGGAGACTGTCCATCTTTCTCCCACCCAGAAGTTGGTACATTTAGGTGTTAGCAGCCTAACTCTATGTAGACTATGTCACCAAAGCTCCAACCGCTTCTAAAAAGAAATTCTAGGGATCTGTCATCCACATTTGCTCTACTTTAAGTTTTCTCGTGCTCGCTTCGGCAGCACATATACTAAAAAAAGTTTTCTCCAGTGCAACAATGAATGAATGAGAACCCAAAATCAAGTTTTCTCTATTTCCTAATGCTAAAATGTGAACATATAGACGATTTTTCTTATTGTCACTGCAGGTTTCAGAGTTACTATACATAGGGCCACTATGAATTACACGTGATTCAACAGCACCTAACAACAACACGTCCTTCCTTGTTATACTTAAGTTTTCCCTACTTCCTAATGACTAAAATGTTAACAGGCAGATTATTTTTCTTATTGCCACTGAAAAATACTATGAAAGACTACTTACTTATAATGAACTTGCTGTGACCACATGCATCGTTAAGTTTTGTTGAGTCAGCTCTAACTCATAGTGACCCTATGTACATCTACAAATAGAGCATTGTCTATAAAAAATATAGTGAAGAAAAAAACCTTCTAGAGCTGTATAATTTTCATTTTAAAAGCTGATACTCCTTGATACAGAAAATTGCTCATGCTCATTTCATATAGCTTTATGAATGGAGAAATTAAATAATCTAACAAGTATTCATGGAACACCTACTGTGTTATAAGTACCATGGGAGATACTAGAATGGGGGGAAAAAAGTTACTGCTCTCAAGTTGCTTATGGATTGCATGTGAAACAGAAAGGTAAAAAGACAATTATAAGAAAATGTCATATACATTATAAAGAAGGGACAATTTAAACAGCAAGGAAGAACTCCTAAGTATGCTTTGAATAATGAAGAAAAAGCTACACAAATCAATGCCTAAGATGATTCTTGACAAGAGGAATTTAACAAATCATCTGAGTTGAGGGTGGAGAGAAATATTCTAGGCATGCTTTAATGGCTCAAATATGTAGCAGACAAAACTGCTTGCCAACATTAAAGTGCAAACTATGGAAGTAGTAGGAGATGAACCCTGGCAGGTAGAAGTTTAGAATTTAACCTATCGTTTCATTGTTGTTCTTATGTGCTGTCGAGTTGCCTGAGACTCATAGCGACCCTACGTACAACAGCCCTAAACCCTGCTCTATCCTGTGCCAATCTTATTGTCTCTGATACACCTATCCCTATTACCCTAGTCACTGAATCACTCCATCTCACTGAAGGTCTTCCTCTCCTGAGCTGTCACTCCACCCTCCCAAGTATGTTGTGCCTCTCCAAGGACTGGTCCCTCCTTGCAACATGTCCCAATATGTTAGACGAAGCTTCAGAATCCTTGCCTCCAAGAAGCAGCCTGGTTTAACCATCTCAAGGATGAACCTGTTCATTCTCTTAACAGTCCATGATACAGTCAACACTATTCTCCAACACCACATATCAACGGCATCAATTCTCTTTCTATCATCCCTAGCCATTGTCTCTGACGTATATATAGCAAGTGATTGCAAAGACCATGGCCTGTATCAGGTGCACCTGACTCTAGACTAACATGTTGCTCTTGAGTTCTGGAGAGGTCTCTGACAGTAGACTTTTCTATCTCAATACCTTTTTTTAAAAAAAATTTCCTGGCTGCTGCTGCCAAGAGTGTTGATTGTGGAGTCAAGCAAACTAAAGCTGTTTACAATCTCAATCTCTTCACCATCCATCACAAAGCTGCCAATTGGCCAGTGATAAGAATTTTGTTTTCTTGATGTTGAGCTTCAATACATATGGAAAGCTGCAGTCTTCGACCTTCTGTAGCCAGGACTTCAGGTCCTCCTCAGTTTCAGTAAGCACTATTGTGTCATCTGCATAACACAGATTGTTGATGAGTCTTCCTCCAATCCTGATGCCTTATTTCTCCTCATAAAGCCCAGACTCCTAGATAATCTGTTCTGCATATAGACTGAAAAGATATGGAGAAAGGACACATCCCTGGTGTACACCCTTCCCAATTTTGAATCATGTAGTGTTACCCTGCTCAGTTAAGACTACCTCCTGGTCCAAGTATAGGTTTTGCATAAAGGACAGCTGCAATCTTTGTCTTACAAAAGTAATACTTGATGGTACAAGGAACAAGGATAAGCCACTTACAGACAAAGATACTACTAAACAGACTATTAAACCCATCTTCATGAAATGCTAAAGGCATATATCAGCCCATGCACACTCAGTAAGACTTGGAGACTTTAGATATGAGAAGAGAAAAGAAAAAGGAGTCTAACATGACTTACCGTTTTTTGATTTACATAATTTTAAAGTTATGTATAATGTCATTCACTATATATAGTTGTTGTTGTTGTTATATGCCATCGAGTCACTTATGACTCACAGCGACCCTATGTACAACAGCCCTAAATTCTGCTCTGTCCTGTGCCAATCGCACTGTCTCTGATACACCCATCTTGATTACCCCAGTCACTGAATCAATCCACCTCACAGACGGCTTTCCCCTCCTGCGCTGTCCCTCCACCCTCCCAAGAAGCATGATGTGCCTCTCCAAGGACCGGTCCCTCCTTGCAACATGTCCAAAGTATGTTAGACAGACCCTCAGAATCCTTGCCTCCAATATGTATTCAAAATAAGACATCAAACTGGGCAAGGTAGGAAAAGATACAAAGACCTTCAATGAGATGCATTGACACAGTGACTACCGTTTGAACATGATGGAGATGCTGACGATGGCACAGGACAGGGCAAGGTTCAGATCTGCTGTTCTTACAGCTGTCATGAGTCGTAACTGATGTTGGGATTTATGGCACCCAACAACAATATACATACTACAGAAGAACGAGGAGCATGTGTGGCAGGAAAATTTCCATTTTGGACGTGCTGAAGATGAAGGGTTTCTGGGTTGGGAAGCATATCCATAGATTGGTGTTGAATTTAGGAGAGAAGTAAAAAAGAAATACAGGATTGAGATTTATTACTAAATGGATGGTAGCAGATGTTACTGACTGGGTGAGACCCCCACAGGTAGAGACAGAAAGTGTGACAAGATCAGGCAACAACACTGTTGGGAAACAGCAACATTTATGTGGCAGATGGAGAACAGCCAATAAACCCACTGCCAACAACTCCAACTCAGAGGAACCCTATGGAACAGATCAGAACTACCTCATAGTCTCTAAAGTTGTAAAGATTACAGAAGGCGAGTGTCACATTTTTCTCCCATGGATCAGGTAGTTTTGAACTGCCAAACTTAAGTTTATTAAAGCACGTAACTACTATGCCATGAGGGCTCCACAGTCTATAAAGGTGAGGACAAACCAACCAACCAAACAAAAAAAATTTGATGGAAGAGAACCAGAAAAGTGAGACCACTTTACAAAACCCAGTTATCAAGGTCAAACTTCATCAAAAGGTCAAGTAAGGTGAGGACTCAAAACTCTCCATCTCACCATCGAGTCAGAAGTGACTCATAGCTGACCATGCAGTGGTTTTCAGGAAGCTGTAAATCCAACAGGAAAAGACTGCCCATCCTCCTACCCTGGAGCAGCTGGTGGATTCAAACTGCCAGAGAGGCGCCACCTTTAGATTTGCAGAGCAACTGCTACAGACTATACCACCAGAGTTCCAGCAGGTAAGGACTGCTGCTGCTGCTGCTGCTGTTAGGTGTCATCGAGTCCACTATGCACCACTGTGACCCTGTAACAACTGACCTGATCCTGTGACACTGGTATGCTTGACCTAGGAAATAGGTATGTGATTTAGGAACCCAGCCACTGGAGGCTTGCCAGAGATATTGTCATACGAATGAGAGCAAAAAAGTGTGTGAATGTGTGTTCTTTCTTCCTCACTTCACCCCCAAGTCTCTCTCACCTTAGTAAACAGTAACTCTATTCTTTCTTCTGTCCCCTTCAATCACTGCTTCAGCCACACTGGTCCCCTCACAATGTCCTCAAACAAGCCACTCAAGGTCTGTACCTGCTGATTTCTCTACATGGAATGACCTACCCACAGATCAACATGATTCACTTGATTCTCTCCATCTGCATTCAACTATGAGCTTCTAAGTAAGGGCTTCCAATAACCCTTCTTATTCTGCTTCTTAACACTGGACTCCACTTTATATCTATCTTCTTTCTCCTGCAAGTAGATTGTAAATTCCATGAAGACAGGGACAAAGGTTGGTTTGTTCATGCACAGTACATGGCAGATAAATCAAATACTTGTTGAATAAGTAAGTAAACCACAGTACTGGCTACTTGATATAAAATTAGTATCAACAAGCATTAATATGAACTGCTCTCTCTCACTGCTATCCAGTTGGAACCGACTCATAACTGACCCTCCAGTGGCTTTTTGGGAGGCTGTAACTCTCACAGGGGGGTGGGGGGAGACTGCCCATCTTCCTCTCATTAAGCTGCTAGAGGATTTTAACTACCAGACAGGCACAGCCTTTGGGTCAGCAGCACAACTTGCTATAGAATAAGCCAACAGTGTTCCCTTTAACGTGGATGTTGCTGTTGTGTACCCTCAAGCTGGAACCAACCCATAGCTGACCCTCAGGTGTGTTTTCAGAGGCAGTAAATCACTGCTCATCTTTCTTCTGCAGAGCAGCTGGTGGATTCAAACCTCATACATTTGAGTTGGCAGAGCAATTCCTTATCACTAAGCCACTAGAACTCTTTTAAAATGGACAGGGATATTATTATGTATTGGAGGGAAGGATTTTGAAACTCCATCATATACTTTGAGCATGTTTCCAGAACGGATCAGTCCTTGGGGAAGTACATCATGATTATAACGGTTGAGAGGTAGTGCAGGAGAGGAAGAGTTGGGATGGGATGGATTGCCACAGTGACTATGGCAATGGGGGCTGGTGTGTCAGAGATGGTGAGGTTGGCTCAGGATAGGGCAAAGCTCACAGCCTTTGTTCATGGGGTCGCTATGAGTTGTAGTCAACTCAATGGTACCTAACAAAAGCAATGAAGAAAAGCAACACTACTTTCAAAAATGGGGGAAAAAATCCACAACATACAAAAAACTAAAACCAATCTGGTAAATAACTAATAAAATAATAGGGAAAACAGTTTCAAAACTGTCTAGTGCAGACTGTTGACAACTCCTACCCCCATTACCATAAACTAGTAATCACAGAATTTTTCTTACTAGTCGTGGGAGATTGACTTTGATTGCAAGTGTCAGCCACTAATATTTCATTTTCCTTAGGACTATGCTGTGGACGAGTCGAAGACTTCAGATCGTTCCTCAATTCTAAGAGGGAAAAAAAGGAGAGAAATTATATGAAAACAGAAAACAAAGAATACATTATCAAAACTGTGATAAATTCCTTGCTGTTATATCAGTTCAGACTCATAATAACCATATAAGACAAGACAGAATGCCCCATAAGATAAGTTTGTAATTTAAGGAGCTCGGATTTAGTCTCAGTCTGTAATTTAGGGTGTCCTAGCGGTTTAGTGGTAAGGAACTGTGCTAGCAACCCAAAGGCATTCAGTTCAAAATCATAGCTGCTCCATGGGAAAAGGATGGGCTGTCTCCTCTTGTGTGATTTACTGCCTCTCCATTTTTAGAGTTACCTCTGCATGTATAAAGAGAAAATTACAGATGTTTATTTGTAATTATTCTTATTCTGTCTGAAAGTCTACGAAAATGTCAGTGCAGGCTCATTCGTGAATCATAGTTTTATATTTTAACTTAGCTCCTAATTATGGGTAGGGCTTTTACAATTCTTTTGTCTTCCACTAGATGGTGGTGTAAAGTCAAACAACATGGGGGAAGTATCTTCACATATCTTCTTTAAATTCTCCAAAGAACTAGCCATGATAGCTGCTTAATAAATGGCACTGAAACCTTTACAAATTGTGTCAATTTTCCAATATTAAAGAACAATATCCGTTTATTTTTTAAAAATGCCTAGCTTACCGATGTGTTTGTGTTACACAAACATCTCCAGGATTACAGAATCCCTACCTTGAACACTGTTCTTGTTACAAACTTTTTATTATTTACTTTAGAGTAATAGTAAAGTGGATGATTAGTGTATTATCTCAAAGCTCTGAGACTGAGGCAGAACTGAACAGAACTGACCTTCCAGTGGGTTTCTGAAGCTATAAATTACACAGGAGATTGCTCATCTCCAGTCTTCGTAGTGGCTGGTAGAGTCAAATAGCCAGAGGGGCTACCTTCCAAAGCATTTAGCCAAAAGAAAACAAAACATAAACTGGTGGACTAGAAATAAGCCATAAAGTGGTTAAATTATGAAGACATTTTCATGATTAGCAGTAACTGCTAAAAGTTACAATTAAAATAGTCAGTTACAGATAGCTCCAATGGTACAGACCAGGAAAATATAATGATGAAAGCCAGAAAGAATATTAGTATTTCAATTCTGTCTCATCTATTTACTCAATAGGTAGGCTATTTAACTTCTTTAAGCCTCTCATGTCCTTATATATCACACAAGAGTTGTAATACCTAGCTCATAAAATTATTATGATAATTGAAATATATTAATAATGTATGCAAAACATTAGGCTTAATACATAAGAAGCCCTGGTGGCCTAGTGGTTAAGAAGCTGCACTGCAATCTTAAAGGCATTTGCTTTGAATCCACCAGCTGCTCTGCAGGAGAAGGTTGGGCCATCTCCTTGAATGTGATCAATTGCCTCTGAAAATCTGAAGGACGGTCAGCTATGGGTCAGTTACAACTCAATGGCACACAGCAATAAGATTAATACATAGTACAAAGTAGGTAAAAAAATGGGAAATATACAGTTTGAAAAACAATGCATATGAACTTTGTAAGTAAATCAATAGAAAATGTTTCTTTTTTTTAAAAAAAAGTCTTGTTTAACAAAGAGTATTTTTAAAATAAAGACAAACCATTCATTGCATCAATTAAAGCTAAGTGTTTACATAGTAAGATGAGTAACGTATGTCTATACACAAATGGGTATAGAATGTCTTCTCAGTCACTTCACTAATGGAACTAAGAACTTGACTGTTGAATTTACAATGTGACATAAGTTACCTAACAAAGACTGTTCCATTAGCTTGAACAACATAAAAATAACAGACAAGTTTTTCACACACCAGATAACTAAAATACAGTACCAACCTTTGCCATCTGTACATGCAGAGTGCTCCAGTTTACTGCGTATTTGTTCTATGTATCGGACATGGAGGTTCTCCTTTCTTCGAAGTCGGTTAACTCCAGAAAAGGAAAAAGCAGTGATTGGTGAATCTGGAATCACATTTTCCTCGAAATCAAGTTCAGTTGCTTGATTTTGATCATTTCTAGAGGTAATGGCAGTAAGAGGCACATATAATTCAACAAATGTTTATTTGAACATTTACTGTACAAAAGCAATACTTTCAATCCTGTTAAAACTTTCCCACAAATCAGAAGAGAACACTTTCTAACACATTCTATGAAGCTAGTGTTAGTTTCAAGACCAGAGAAAGACACCACAATAAAAGAGGCAACTGCCAATCAGTATCCCTTAAGAATATGGCGCGACAAGAATCCTAATGCTAAGAAGAAAGTGAGAATATTTGTACAACTGGAAGGATGTTTTGTACAACTGGAAGGATGTTATAATCGTCATTAACCTGTACATGTAGAAAGTGCAGGATTGGTGTGATCTGCTATTTATTCTAAGAGAAATAATACAAATTCTATAACAGATGTATTAATCATCAACAAAATATCAGCAAATCAAGTAAAAGGCACGTTAAGATGATGATATAGCAGGACATACTTTAGGAACCCAAGTGTGGTTCAGTATGAGAAAAATCAACCAATGTAATGTGCCATAATTAATAGAACATAGGAAAAGAACCACATAATCTTCTCAGTCAATGCAGAAAAAGCATCTGACAAAATTCAAAACCCATTTATTTTTTTTAAACCCTCAAAATATTCAATAAGCTAAGAATAGAAGGGAAAGTCCTAAAAATGATAGTCGTAATGAAGTATCCATAGCTAACATCAAAGATATCATGCTTAGAAAGGCAGATGGTTAACATAAAGAAAGGAAGACCCTCAACAACATGATATAGTGGCTATAACAATGAGCTCAAGTCTATCCGAGATGATGAGGATGGTGCAGGGTAGGGGAGGCTTCAGAACCACAGGGTCATCTGAGTCACAGACATCTCGATGGCACGCAAGAATGCCATACTAAGAAGCTCTGGTGGTGGAGTCTGGTGCATATCTGACAAACAAAAAAGCTTTCTCTGGTGGTTTGAAAACAGCAACTGCTCTGAGGAGAAAAGATGGTCAAGCTCCTCTCATTAAGATTTATAGCTCTGGAAACATGATGGAAGGCCAGAACTGACTAAGTGGCAGTGAGAGTTGAGACTTTAACATCATATTCAGTACAAAGACTTTGAAAACTTGCCCCTTCCGATCACAAGACCCACTCTCACCCAATATTGCTCAAAATTGTACTGGAAGATCTACCCAAAACTCAAATATGTAAAGAAAGAAAAGGTATCCAAATTGGATAAAAAACTATCCCATTTTTCCAATGACATGAACCAAAAATACAGAAGATCCAAAAAAATTTACTCAAAAGTCAATGGAGCTAAAAAGTGAATTCAGCAGAGGAGCTGGATACAAGGTCAATATGCACAAATTTCAGCCGAGCTGAGGTGTATACTTTTTTTTTGGTTTTTTTTTTTAATTGATATTTCAATGAAAGTTTATAGAAAATGTGAATTTCCATTCTTTCAATGTTACACATTTTCCTCCCCAACTCCCCCCTCCAGTTCATTTTCTTTTTATAATATTTTTTGGTTTTCTCTTTAACAAGATTTTTCATTGTTGCACAATTTCCTCCCTCCCTCCCACCCCTAGTCCACTTCGCTATGCATCTCTTACACAAATACTTAATCATATATTTTAGACAGTTCTTTCCTTCATCAATTTAAATGCAGTGTTCATTATTTCTCCCCTCTTAGTTTCCCCATAACCCCCATTTCAGTCCTGTTTTATAACAGTGGCATTATACAGTATTTGTCCTTTTGTGACTGAGATATTTCACTCAGCATAATGTCCTCCAGGATCACTCATTTTCTATATTTTATGAGTTCCTAGTTTTTCAGTGCTGCATAGTATTCCATTGTGTTACTATACCACAGCTTTCCCACTCATTCATTGGTTGATGGGCACTTGGGTTGCTTCCATATCTTTGTTATTGTGAACAACAGCAATAAACATGGGTGTGTAAAAAATTATAATATATATTTTTTAATTTATTATTCATTTGTTGTTGTTGTTATGTGCCATCAAGTCACTTGCGACTCAGAGAGACCCTATGTACAACAGTCCTAAACTCTGCTCTGTCCTGTGCCAATCGCACTGTCTCCGATACACCCATCTCGATTACCCCAGTCACTGAATCAATCCACCTCATAGAGGGTTTTCCCCTCCTGCACAGTCCCTCCACCCTCCCAAGCATGATGTCCCTCTCCAAGAACCGGTCCTTCCTTACAACATGTCCAAGTATGTCAGATGAAGCTTCAGAATTCTTGCCTCCAAGGAGCCGCCTGGTTTAACTCTCTCCTGGATGAATCTGTTTTCTTAGCAGTCCATGGTACACTCAATACTCTTCTTCAGCACCACAGCTCAAAGACGTCAATTCTCCTTCTATCCTCCCTAGTCATTGTCCCACTCTCGATGTATAACAAGTGACTGCAATGACCATGGCCTATACAGGCGCACCTTAGTTTCCAGAGAGACACCATTGCTCTTCAGTACTTTGGAGAGGTCCCTAACAGCAGACTTTACCATCGCAATATGTCTTTTCATTTCCTGGCTACTGGTGCCAAGAGTGTTGACTGTGGAGCCAAGCAAACTAAAGCTGTGAACAATCTCAATCTCTTCACCATCCATCCTGATCCTTCCAATTGGCCCAGTGGTGAGAATCTTTGTCTTCTTGACATTAAGTCTCAATCCATATTGGAGGCTGCAGTCCTTGACCCTCTGCAGCAGGTGCTTCAGGTCCTCCTCAGTTTCAGCAAGCAGGGTTGTGTCATCTGCATAATGCAGATTGTTGACAGATTGTTGACCAATCTTGACCCCGCATTTCTCCTCATAGAGCCCAGCCTCCTGGATAATCTGTTCTGCATACAGGTTGGAAAGGTATGGATAGGATGCATTCCTGGCGTATACCCTTCCCAATTTTTTTTTAAATTTTTATTTTATTATTTGTGCGTGTGCGTGTACCGTCAAATCAGATCTGACCGGTACAGGAGGAGATTGTTCCTCCTTCCCTGGCAGAGCATCTGGTGGATTTGAACTGTGTGCCTCTGGGATTGTAGTTGCAGCTCCTTGCCACTAGGTCACCAGAGCTCCCCACCCTTCCCAATTTTGAACCATGCAGTGTTACCTTGCTCTGTTCTGACTACTGCCTCTTGGTTCAAGTATAGGTTTCGCATTAGCACGATCAAGTATTCTGGGATTCCCATTCTTCTCAGAGTCAGCTACAGTTTGTTATGATCCATGTAGTCAAATGCCTTTGCATAATCAATGAAACACAGATAGACATTCCTCTGGTATTCCCTGCTTTATATTAATTTATTTACAAAATTCAAATACATTGTTTTTCACACCAGATTCTTCCAATTTCCCTCACACAACTCCCCTTCCCCAGTTGAGGTTATAATACATCAGCAGTGAGCAAAGTGAAAATAAAATGATGAAGCAATTTCATTTACAACAATACCTGAGGACTAGTCTCCTTGTTTTCTGAATTCCTATGATGTCTTAATGTTTTAAGGTGTTTTTCTTCCCTGGAATACTTCCTGATTGCCCTGTCTTTTCCTTTTCAGTGCAGATTCTTGTAACCTCTGACTATCTCAAGCAAACCCTGATTATTTTGCATTCCACTAAACGTACCTGATTTATACCTGTCATGGTGGTTTTTAGGGTAGCCTGTTTTTCAGAGTGAATTGTTTTTTGTTTATATTTGAAAAATTTCAAACCCTTACATATTTGTTGGAAGATTTAATACCTATGAAACACAGGTGGCCTAGGCAGTAGGAAACTGTGTTACTAACCCAAAGGCTGCTCCCCTTTTCTGGTTTGAATCCACCAGCAGCTCTAAGGGAAATAAGGGCAATCCTTTCTCATTTCACTTCCAGCCTCCAAAATGCAATGGGCCAGCTAGGATTCGACTTTTCTGCCCTGTGAGGGTGGCAACGAGTTTAAGTATAACGTATCTAATGTGTTCGTCACTGATTCTTTTTAGACTTGGTACATATTTTTTTGACCCCTGTATTTTACTGAAATCCCTTTGGATGTGTATTTGTTTGTGTATGCAACTGCTGTTCTACAGATTAATAATAATCTGATGACCAGCGGTATAACACACTAACCATTTTATCTGTACTTTCTTTCTGTGGGTAAGGCTTTCAATGTTTCCATCAGTTGTAGCTCTCTTGAGAGGTTAACAACTGTTTGCTGTGTTGCTTACTAATATTTTCCTTTGGAGCTCTGGTAGCTGAGTGGTAAGGAGCTGCCCTGCCAACCCAAAGGCATGCAGTCGGGATCTCCTTCCACCTTCTCAATGGGAGAAAAATGGGCACTGTCCTCCTGTGTGATTTATAGTCCCTGTCAAAGAAGGGTCAGCTATGAGTCAGTTCTGACTCAAAAGAACACACCAGTAAGGAATAAATATTAAGGAAGAAATTTAAACAGAAAGTCATACACTGAAAACTACAAAACATTACTGAAAGGGATTAAGGAACAGCTAAGTAACTGGAAGAATTTCATGCTCCTTGAATGAAAGACTGAATATTGTTAAAATGTTACCAAAACAGACACAGTGCGAGGCTGTAAACCTTTACTGCAGGCTGCTGTTATCATTCTCTTACTGAGGAAAGAAAGGAATGAGTCACTGAGTCTGGAAGCTCTGGACTGTAGTCTCAGGGTCCATCAAGGTCAAATGGCAAAACACAGCCCACAAAGAAAACGCAAAAACAAAGAAAACTTGGTGAATAGCAAATGTGGTCATAAATGCTTGTAAGCAAGGAATAGATACTGTTCTCTCTCTTTCGAGAACAAAGAGGAGGGGAAAGGCATAGGTGCCAAGAAACAGTAAGAGAGGTCCTAAATCAGGAGAGCTACATGATGGTTCTGAAAGTGAAAACATGAGGAGGGCCTGGATGACTAGGAGAAAAATGTGTACACTCTAGGCTTACTAGAGACTACTAGTGAGACTCCAGAGTCTATGGTCTTAAGATGCTGTTTACCTCTGTAAGGCACCCCTGTAGCTCAACTTTTAGCGAAA